CGGGATTGTTATCAACGCGCCCTTAAGGAAGAAATTTTTATAAGGAGTCCCCTCGTTGTGAATGACTAACTGCTGTAGACAGATGAACTTCGCGCGATGCTTAGGAAGCGAGAATTAGTGTGAGTCGTCACGAATTATCCAGCTCGCTCGATGTCACCAGAAAGCTGTCGCTCACCGTTGTTATAATCCAGCCCACTCTAAGGTAGTGACAAGATGAGAATCACACCAAGTGCGTGACTCAAACGAAGCGTCGAGGTTCAATGTGAGCGAATCGTTGCTTTTGCGCACTCATTGGAAGGAGCTACTCGATATGTCGTTATCAGGGATGGTAGCGGGGTTCAAGGTGCCAAAAATAGGCAACGTCGCCGGAGCGTGTCCCTAAAGAAGCCCCCTCAAACACACCCGAAAGGGGATCATTGCAAGAAAAGGATTGTCTGGATCTGGTGTTGGTGAGATTTCCGACGAAATTTCTCTTCTGTACGCTCTCTCACCGTATTCGCCATGACCATTATGGAGCACGCTTCTCAACTGCAGAAACTTAGGGTTATGCACTCGTTTATCCTTCAGCTACAGTACCGCCGCTAGCCCCTACGGTACTTTGGGGGGAGGCCAAAGGCAATAAAAATGAAGCTTCTCCTCAATAAGACGATTCTGCTACCAAGCTCATCGATCCAGGAGGGATGGAAAACCTAAAGGCATGGAGTGGTTCCACCAAATTTGGAACTCCGAACCGTGCTTGCAGAGGAAAGCCCCTTCTAATTGCAGCACCCTAGCCATTACGGAATACTTGTCTTGGGTTTCGATCGCAACTGAAGACCCACTGCTGACTTTTGCTGTTTGCAAACTCACTTGGAATCGTGTTGTGGTAATTCTCAAATCAGAGCAAGATGAGGGAATAAACAGACCCTAACTGGACCCACAGTAACGAACACACTACAGTGCTCCTTGATGAAATGTGTAGACAAATATTGGTGTCTGTATCAACGCTGACAAGGACAGAAAGTGAAAATCGCATATTGTAAACTTTTTCGAAAAGATTTAAGATGAGATTACTGTATCCGAATACGCGCACGGGAGTAATTTCTCAGTAGGTTTGGTGTGATCAATATTCTTCTACTAACAAACGAGTTTATATGCTTCCTGATGATTCTCAAGACGTGGGCAGAGGTTTCGCTCCCAGCCTCGACTTTCCGGGTATTTTCATTATTTTACCATGGACGGCCCGCGCGCTCCTAGATTGGCGGATCGATGCGAATCCCATGTCGCATCCAATGAGTTGCCCTTCTCATCCCAGCCACCCCCTCGCTTTTCATGCCTTTCTTCCCATCCCGTTTGGCACCACGCAGCCGGAACTAGTGGAGAATACACTAAGCTAATGAGAACTGCATGGTTAAGGAGTGCTTTAACGACATATGAAAAAGGACGCTGAGATTGCATAAAATATGATTCGGAAAGAAGAGATCAAAAGTGGAGGTATCAACTGAAGTTGTCACCTATACTCTTGGCAAAAAGTGGACCAACCACCACGACATGCTCCAGTGGGAAAGTCCGGCTTCTTCTAAATATAATCATTCCTATTCATACACTTTCGCTTCGCATCTTAGAGCCTTGGATTTGCTGGTGTTTCACGGTTCGCTTCGAGTAAGAAAAATGTCCCTTCTCCAGTTAGCGGTGTACAAATTCAGGTGAAATTCATTCCGGAAGAAAAGTTTGTCAGGACCCAGTATTGAACGCTGCCTTAAGTGCGGGAACACTGAATGGCCGAACCAAGGCCCATAGAAGCGATCAAATGGCCGGCCGAGATTAGTATGGCGAGACCCCTTTGGGTCAATCCTTGGAGAAACTTGGGGGAGAGCAGACCCCATTTCATGGTGAAGAAGCATGCAAGGACACATTGAAACAATGTGAACTCGTTTGAATAAATAAATAAAATAAAGGTCCGGAGAATGGAACCGTTTGATTAGAGAAGATCCCCCCTTATTCGAGACGAATGTTGTTCACAGCGCATTAACCCGTAACCCTGCTCACAAAAGTTTCTTGCAGCTGAACCACAAAAAGTTTGACACTGCCAAAATTATATTGTAGCTGCAAGCTTGTTCAGCCACCCTCCCGATGCTCCGTCCGCAGTGCGGGCTAAGCCCGCAATCCAGGTCAACGCAACCCCCTATCGTTGTGACTCTTCGAAAATTTTTTACGACCCCCCCCTTCATGGTTGATTTGATACGACCCCCCCCCTTGTACGTTACACTTGTGTAAAGACAGATTGACCTTAATATTTATTGCTACTCAAGTCAAATCAGCTTCCGAATAATGAGATGCACTCGAAGGTACCCGAAGGGTACCCCGAGGGGTTACTAAACTAAGAGATCGCCAAACTGAATCAGTTGCCTTAACACATTGTGGACCGCCGTTGAATGAAAACTTCGCCAAAAATGAGTCATCTATCAATAAATTTTTTGCCCGCTTGAAGATGTGTGCAAACTGTTCAGAAAGATTGTAAAGACAATAAGTCAGACGAAACCATGCTCTTTCAATCATGCGATGTGATTTCAAATTTGCTGGTTGGCGCCCTTTTGCCTTGCTGACGGTGGAGCGCATCTGCTCAAGGTGAGGAGCCGTCGAACGGGAATGTGAAAAGTTTAGGAGTTTTTTTTGTTTAATTTCAGGTAGTCCGGAAGATATCGGCGGATGTTGGATCAGCGTGGTTCATCCTTCTCAAGGAGTGCCCATTTTTTCTCAAACCCTTCACAATGAAAAAGTTATAAGCCAAAAAATTAGATTGCAAGAGAATTTTTACACTCCTCTTTCTAGGGCTATAACTTCCTTCATGTTCGAGCTTCAGCGCCATAGTGATTTGATTTAAAAAATTCAAATTATTCTCTAGCCAATCATGGGTATAAATTCTTCGAAAGTTAATTTATTAAAAATTTTGGACGTTGTGACTTTCTCTGGTGCAAACCGACTTTTTTGCTTTCAAACGATCATAACTTCCTTCAAAGTCATTCATTTAGGAAGCTGAACGCGATATAACACACTCCAGGATTCAAGCTTTCTAACGAGTACCCAAACGTTCCTGCAAAATCAGTAGTTCAAAATTTAGTCCCGTTGTAACCATTATAAAGGGCTGGTGTAACCATTTCTTTGAAAACGCGACTTTTTTACCTTCAAACGATCATAACTTCCTTAAAAGTCATTCATTTAGGAAGCTGAACGCGATATAACACACTCCAGGATTCAAGCTTTCTAACGAGTACCCAAGCGTTCCTGAAAAATCAGTAGTTCAAAATTTAGTCCCGTTGTAACCCTCAAATTTGAGGGGTATTTTTTGAGCCACTTTCTCGAAAGCGCGAGTTTTCTTAAGTTCCACTGCCCGTAACATCTCGCAAGACCAATTTCATGTTTAATTTAGGATGTGCTAGAATGCTCCGAGCATGCGCTTGCACTACATCCCTTTCCCTTGGTGCGCGCCACGCCTCGGGCGCCCTTCTAATTCGCTGATTCATTTGAAAGCTCATTCAGAGGGAAGCGTGGTTTACAGATGCTCTAGTATCAGTAATCTTGCGCAAACGTATCGTGCCGGCTATCATGCTGGTCTCTAAAGGCATTAGTTTCATATGTGGTCTCGTGGCTGTCACAATGCGAGTACTTTTTTCAGGATGCTGCAATCTTCCACTTCATGACTGCGTCCTTGCAGGGAGAAGGCTTTGCATAATTGCTATAACTATTCACAAACACTTTCTTTGCTGCGTTTGCTCTTCTCCTTCGTACCACTATCCATACTCAGTAGGACATCACCAAGAATTTTCAGTGCCGGCCACCAAAAAATTACGACCCCCCCCTCCAAGCTCAATTCAGTACGACCCCCCCGTTGTGACTCGTCACAACGTAGGGTTGACCCTGGCCGAATCGTACGATTGAGATTGAACCAAGCAATTCGGACTTCACA